TTCGTCATTGACCCAGAATACTCTACTGATCAAATATGCTGAAATTTATTATTGCTAAAAAGGGCGTGCGATGGACTTACCTCCACGTGGTGCACCCTGGGAAACGTATACTCATACGGCAAAAAAGTCTATCAATGGGCAGTTGACTTCTGACTTCAAAATACTATGGCCCAACTGCTTGTCATATTCGACCGCTTCACAGTACTCATCTTACCTTTTTCCCTACCTTTATGTCTGTCTACCTCTTTTACATCTGTGAATCGCTCTTCTGTTTCCCACCCCTCGACTTTCTGCTTCTTTGATGAACCTTCCCTCTGTGAAGCCCGAAGTCAGCTAAATGGTTAATGATAGCTATCAAAACGCCTGCCATTTGAGATAAATAAATAAATTATTGCTAAAATGCTAGTGACGAGGATGAAAAAATTATTTGAACCGAACAATTATTTAATTTGGTTAGATTAAAGTGCTTAACTGCTTGTTCATATTAATGCCGCAAGAATACACCTTGATTTCTCTTCAATTATCTCTATGACAAAATGTCCTAGTATCGGGTAGGCACATGGAATGGTTAAAATTATCCTCAAGGGGTATACATGGAGCAGACGCATAACAAGTAAAGCGTTTTCTGAAGTTTTGACCGCAAAAAAACACGAGAATTGATTAAAATCATTTAACATAGACTTAATTGAACACTAGCAGCTGAGACGTCCACTAATCCACTACCGAGTAAGAAAAATGTTCTCCCATAATCCATCTTAAAAATATTTTGAATTGTTTATAATGTAATACGGACATGTAATTCCGGTTCATAGTATTTATTATTTAAAATGATTTATCCAAATTATATTAGACTAATTTAAGCAGGCCATTGAGGATAAATCTTGGTTAAATTGCCCTAATTAAAAGGCAAATGTCCTTATTTCAAACATTTCTTCCATATCATGAGTAAAAGGGAAATGATTGGATTAACTCTTCATTTCAAATTGATGGTTATCTGATTATTTCTTGCTCAGATTTTCCAATAAAATACGAAGCCGATTAAATGAATTAATATTTTTGACAGATACTAACGGGAATCAGAAAACTACACGAATGATTATGGCTAAGATAAATTGGACAATATTCACTGTTTTCGTTATTTAGTCCCCCTGAAGTCACTAAATCAGCCAACACGTAGACTCTTATTTCAAATAAATTTAGGCAAGAATGGTACCGACTATAAGTAGAAAGAAGCGTAGTGCGTATCAGCATCAGGTAGAAAGTTTTAGAATGGGTAGGTCAGGTTAGTAAAAATCAATATTAGCTGATTTTCTTCATTAGACGTCGAAACTCTCTGTCAGTCTTTAACTTTGCGGTGAAAGTACGTTTCAATAAAAAGCCTTCTTTAATAATCAGCATGGTACACTTTGTAGCATTAGTTGGTTTAAAGTTTTAAGAATAGGAGATAAAACATAATTTAAATTTAATTAGACTGCTATTCACGGGTTTTTATTAAATCCAAATAAAACTGTAGCTTTGAGCTAATTAACGATATTTTAATAGCTAATATTACCTTACATAATTAGTTTTGCAATTTTAAACCTATTGTAATTTAAAAAATTAAGTTTTTGTATAAATAGAAAGATATTAAAAAATAATAGATCACCATAATATTCCACTATTTATATCCGGATACACCCTTTTACTTTAATCTATCATTTTACAATTTTACAGTGCTAAAATACAAATTCCTTTGATGGTGACAAAAATCAAATTTCACAAGTTTTGTTAATTCGAATACGCCATGATTATAGTTTTAGTCAAAAAATTAAATTTCTAGAGAATGATAAGCAGTATGATATTAGAACCAAAAAACAGCTCTCGAACTCTGAGTTTTAGTACTTACAGTTAGAAACAAATACTGAAAACCGATGAGATAAGTCATGAAAAGGTTTAAAAGTTGAAAATGCGAATTTATTAGAAACATGCTGCTTTAAAAGCACATTCAGAAATTACCTTAAAATAAGGGGGGAGATAAAGGTATTTGGTCACATTCTTTTGTAATGCTATCACGCATGGATTATAAGATGCATATATGAGCCAACGACCTTGAGGAGAGAGAATAGTCTAATTGGTCAATTGAGGAGATGCCCGTGTTTTAGTTGAACGAGAGCAGCTAATAAGTCAAAAATAAGAAGGAAAAGAAATTACAAAGAGGGAAGGATTGGTCACTAATTAAAGAGTTCTTCATCAATTAACTTTATTAACTACATGTTTCCTCTTCGTAATGATTCTATCGTTTCAAAACTTGTCTGACAAAATCCTATAGCTATCCTAAGCTGACAATTAACGAGTAAAACTGTTATAAATATAAATTGCGCGGGTTTTGTGTGATCACAAACAACTTAGATTTTACCAAGTCGAATTTGATCAATAATTTGTTGGAAGATTACAGGTACACGATTATTGCATGTTTTTGATAGACGGAAATAGATGACGTATGGTCTAGGGCGTCATACTTTCTGTTGGCTGCGTTAACCAAATCACATAATACAATATTGATAAGTATCCTTTTATGCCATCATTGACCTTGCTAAAACTAATTTAAGGACTCGAACTCATCCTTTTAATTCTTGTTTCCCGAGAATGTGCGTCGTCTTAATGTAGTGACCAAGTTAAGGGTGGCCAAATATGAAAGTAAAACAAGAGTCGAGACGTTTCTCTTTAGAACTTTTCGCCTCTAGCATTATTAGATTTTACCTGGACATGAGGCTTCATGTTTAACATAGCATTAAAATTATTAAATTCAATTAATGCACGCTTTTCAATTCAGTATCGGGATTGGACTGCTTACGTTAGTCCTCAAAATGAGGATGAATTTCGATTTTCAATGTTTTCAACCACTGATTTACCAATTAGGTAAAATTCAGTTAGATGAAGTTTCCACCCCTATTCTAATTTTAACAGTTTCTACTTAGCACATTTCTTGCCAGATGTGGAAATGAGGAAGACCCATCTAATAAGGTGTCTAGACCTACAGATAACTACAGTAAAACAGAGGTACTGGGAAGTCAGAACTCGACTAATGGATTAACGTTAAATATCCTACGGCATATATATATATATATATATATATATATATATATATATATTCCTGCCCTCTGCAATGCCCGACGTCAACTAATGGTCAGTGATAAATACAATAAAGTCTACCTTTTAGTTAAAAAAGAATGCATATTGAAAAATAGAAAGCCTTCACCTCATTTAACCCAATTCATGCTCATGCCGTTGCAGTACGCGCTTAGCAACACGTTCGGTCTATCGCGAGGGGCAACAAAGGAGGGAAAACCAGTTTAAATCTACTCTGCATGCCCTATTTAACACACCCACGCGTCCGCTCTCACAGCTGCGTAGTTTAAGCCTTAATTTTGCATCTGCTTACTTCCTTCCTCTTCCCATCTGGTCAATTCCCTGTCCTCTAATTCAACTCCTAATTGACTGATTTAATAGAGTTTTCTAATCGGATGGACTTTCGGAGGATTGTTACTCCTGTTAGAGAAGTCCTATTAACGCGATAGTTTATAATTAACTCACTTCAATTAAGGTATCAAGTAAAAATTTAGCCGAAATAAATGGGATGGAAAAATTGTCCTTAATTTTTATTTTGACGACCATTCTGAATGGAAGGAAGAAGAACAATTTGTCACATGAATTTGGATTAGTATCTTAAGATGGCTAACGAATAACGTTGAGGAATAATGGGAATAGAAAGTTGAAAATGCAGAATTTTAAAGTTAGGGGCAAAGTGACCACTCAGTGACCTCCTCAAAATATCAAATTGATGTGTGCTCCTAAGAGGCACTTTCGGTACGGAAATTATAATATTCTTTATTCCCAAGCTAATATCTAAACCCTGGTTATAGGAAAAAATTCAATACAAGAACAGTTGTGCTCTACCAACAAAGAATATCGGTATAGCAAGAGCTATTGTAATAAAATGGTCCAGGGATATGGTCTCAGATCAATCAGAAAATCAAGTGCCCTAGCTGATATGCTTGCTTAATTAAGAATTAAAATACTTTCCGAATTGATAATTCTTTAATTATTAGATTTTTCTGCTCAAAGAAACAGGTTACTTCTTATCCATTTATTCTAATGCTATCCTCAATGCTACTCAGTTGCCTAAACACTATTTCAAACTTTACTTGATCCAAAGTACACCTGGGAAATCACTCGTGACCAAAGTTTCTAAAACAGATGCCTTAATGTCTTTCTTCTAGACTGTTTTACTCGGCGTGTCTCTATCTCCCATATTAACAGTTAAGTACCAAGCATCCTCTATTTCGCCCCATCGGCCTTTCTCGGTTCTCGATATAGTTCTCCAACGATATGACCCTCTTCTCTATCCTTCTAGAATGGCTAGTCTAGTAGAAGGCAGAACAAAAAGTTAGAAAAAGAGCTTGAGATAATAATAAACCAATTGTATTAATAAAAAATTTACTCATAATTTGTCAGATAGGGAAATTATAGGTTCATATTAAAACGGAGCATTTTTTCAAACTTCCATAATCCGTTAGTCAGAACTGTTAAAATTCTATTTCTAATGTGTCCAATGCGCTTTATTGCAATAATGAATAATTGGTTTTGAGAGTTTTTTTGACTAACTTGAAATAGACAGTTAATCTCTATAGACGTCAGTCAATATGTCTAACTAAAAGCATGAATGTGGTGTGCAGAGTAGGGCGATTATCAGTGATAAACAAAGATGTCTCCTTCTGTTATCTAACCGATTTAAGTAAGATTTAAGTAAATGGGATTTTTTAATTTATAATGGAAAATAAGCCATCAAGAATTAAAATTCTGAAACTCCATTTACACTAGCATATCCCATTAGCAAATCATAATTGGCTAATACTAAACCAATGGAATTTGCCTTTAGGGATCAGCCACTAAAAATACAGGTTAGTGAATTGTCGGATTATAAAGACATGAGAAATTAAAGGAGACAAACTAATGAGAAAATGAATTATAATCCGCAAATTTCTTCCAATTTACAACTCATTCGATTTTCCAGGCTCTCTGATAATTGTTCCCAATTTTTATTTCTCCTACCTTCGAGTATTTTACGTGGATTTATAAATGAAATTGACTCTTCTACTTTCGAATATGCTAACCATGTCTGGCGTCTGAAAGCTGTCCGATCAAAAGTTCACATCGGCGTGTATCTGGAACTTGTTACACCAAACACGGCAATTGAAAAGCGCTCACTTGGAAAATTTTCAATTTGGTTGGATTTATCCTTCACTGCTATTAACTTGGAGCACTTCTCTGATAATCAAAATTTCACAAAACACAAAGTTCACTTTAATCGCCACAACACTCTATGGGGTAGCGGCTGTCTAATAGAAGCATCAACGGTTAAAGAAAAAAAATTTGTGCGAGAAGATGACCAACTGTTAATTGAGTTGGAATTATCAAATGTCATGACTAACTTAACTTTCCCTTTAACTTCTCGCAGTGAGGACCATTTTGAATCGACAGATTTTCAATTTGGTGGGGAAACATGGAAAATTTCCTTGACAATTGATTGGGAGGAGCAAACAATACTAAGAATTTTAAATCAATCCCAACGACAGAACCTTGTCTTCTTGATGTCTTTTGAGTTATCTATCAACTCAGAGCAGAAAATAAGCTCCCGTATTGAGTTACTGATTCATCATCGTGATGCACAAATTCAGATCTCCGAAGATGCTAATCTAGACATTCTCGTCAGTATGATAAATGAACCAAAGCAGAAGAAGCTCTCCGTCTACCTGCGAGATGTGAAGCTATATAAGTTCAGTAATATGGGTTTACCCCCAGGACTTTCGAAGAATCATCACTTCTTGAAGTATACTGAAGATGTTCAAGGTTATTTGTGGAATGTTGCATTTTCTGTGTCAAGCGGCAATTTGTACGCAAAATTGCTACCTGGGGAAATGAAGAGTGTTGAACTGGAACCGAATGCAACTCGAGTAGTTGGGTGGAGTTGGCGACTTCTAAACAATCCAAATGAAGATATCATGCGGACATTGAATCATATCTTCGTTTGCCAACAAAGTTTTCTTTCACTATATGGAATCAGATCCAGGATGATTGCTCAAGCCGGCACAGTGAGCAAGAAACACACCGTTGCCGAAATTTATCTACCGAAACGCCCGGATCTAAAGGAGGAGGAATACTTGAATTTCATTTCTCCACCAAGATGGGCTCTAAAGGTGAGTGTAAATGAAGCTAATTTGATATAACTATTATGCAACCTTCTTGTATCTATAGTGGGACAATTATTGAACTCAACTGCTTAGTTATAATAGCATTTAACATTTCGAGGTTTTAATCATTTATAAACGATCTGAATTTTCTTCAAATTTGGTAAACAGTGCCGTTTCGTCATCCTAAAAATAAGATCAATTAGTTTATTCTTGTGAATACGCCTGCACATCTATAAAAATCGTCGTCATCAATTAGAAATCAATATTTTTTTAGATATAGACAAATTGAAGGTTCATTTACCTTCAAAGTAACAAAGAATAGTAATTTCATTCTTTGTCCTTGCTAAAAGTATTATTGTAGAGAATTAAATGTACTTTAGAATTTCATGGACATTAAAAATACTTGACTTTAAATAATTCAAACATAAATTTTTTTCCCACGACTTATATATCCACGCAAAATGATAATCTCGGTTTTTAAATTAGAGTAAATCAAATAGGCGACAATCAAGGACTTTCTCCAGAGTCTTGACTAAATGGGGCTTGCACCCGAAGAAAGTTGATAATTTGTGTATCATTAATTATACGTTAAGTCATATTAGATAGGAATATGGGTGTGACATAGACTTACCTCCACGTGGTGCACCCTGAGCAACGCATACCCATACGGCAAAAAGTTTATTAACTGGCAATTGACTTCTGACTTTAAACTACCATCACCCCACTGAATGTCATATCCGACCACTTTCACAGTACTCACCTCGCCTTTCATCTACCTTTGTGTCTGTCTCTTTTACATCTTTGAAACACTCTTCTCCCCCCCCCTCGAATTTTCTCACTTTGATGTTCCTCCCCTCTATGAAGCCCGATGTCAGCTAAAGGGCTAATCATAATAATCAAAACGCTTGCCATTTGATATAAATAAATAAATAATATTATATAGGAATATCAAGCGGACACTTTTTTTAATCTACTCATGAGTCCTTTAAGAAAAATTTTATAATTCACCACCAAAATAAATGATCAAAGGATACCGCCATTCATTCTGAATGTGAAGCAAAGCGAATTTTGTGTTTCAACTTTTGTTTTTGTAAATCGTCCTATAGTTGATATCGCTCGCTGTTTGAAATTCGGTTTCTTCTACTTTGTAGCGGACCGCTACACTAATAAGCCTTGACTAAACTCAGAAATCTCAATGGTAAGTTCTCCTATGTTCGGAAAGACTCCCAGAACTAGCTAAGCTATTGCAAAGCCATAGAAGAAACAGAGGTATCACTCGGAGCACTTTTATTTGGGATGCCTGTGAGTAGGTGCGAGTACAGACATGGAGCTTAATAAATCATATTAATATGGCAGGTTTGATGAACCAAGCGATGGCCATTGATTGGCGGTTGTCTGTGTGTTTGCGCACTCTCGATCGCACACTTACTCCGTACGCGAAGTTACGCGACCCCATCAAGCCCCTTCAAGCGTCTCTGAGTGAGCATGAGATTACTTTGTTCAGAGGTGACAACCTTGTGCGCTCCACAACCTGCAGTTTGACATTTCGCCTTTTAGGGGGCATTGATTGACATGGTTGAACTTATTTTATTTTAACTTTAACTACCTGCCTACTTTGCTTACTTTAAACTATTTAGTCTCTCTGCATTTAGCCTTATTTAGGTCATGGCAAGGCAGTTAAATTCTCTTGCTATTTTATGTTTCGAGTTCTCAAAATTTTACGCCTTTTTAGCTCTTCATTTACTATGAGCCTAACATGGCAGCATGTCAATTTAATCAATCGTATTCGATAGTATTATGACAAAAAATCGCTTAATGTCATGAGAGCATTTGTATTTTTGAAATAAATTTATAGAAATGTAATTTTTAAAGAGACATTGTTCTTTACTTTTTTTAAAATATGAGAAATTGCTCAAACACAGCTTTATTAAATGCATATAACATCTAAAATTTGTCCTAGTTTTAAGACTTAGCAAAATAGCATAAGTAAAGTTAATATAAGTTTTATTAAAATAAAAGTTGATTGTCCACATGCTTTTGGTTTAACCGAAGGGTTCTGTGGTTAATCCCATTGAAAGTTAGTAAATCATAGACCATGCGGTTTAAATGCTTTAATTGAAATGTTAGCAGACACAGCCTAATTTCAATTAAATAGAGTACACTGTAAGTAACTGAGCCCAGCTATAAAAAGTTGCGACAGTTCGCATTGCCTTGACTATTGGAAGAAGATCATTCCAGAATTAGTAGAGCAATTGTATGATTAAATCGATTAAACAGCGAGATATTTGTGTTGAGGACTTTACTCCTGAAGTCGCACGCTCCTCTCCGCCCCCCCCCCCCCCCCCCCCCCCCCCC